GACACGATGAAGAAGGCGGATAGGGATGGGAATGGCGAGTTAGGCTTCAGCTTGCTTTCCACAGGACCTGGTCACGTTCGAGGTCCGTGTGGAACGCCACGAATAGATTCGAGGAGCACTTTGGCGAGCTGGGATGATGTCAAGGTCGGGCTGGCTGACGATCTGCCAGATGGTGGTATACGACTGATACTTACGAGGGTAGCCGCGGCGACACTCGGTATTTACCCATCTCCGGATCCGGCTGGACAACGCAAGGGAGAGAATGGGTATAAAGATCTTCGACGGCCCTCTCGTTGATTCATCTGCCTACCACCCCAGATACACCTCAACCACATAGAAGAAGAAATCAGACTCATCGTATATCCAACTATCTCTCTCTCATCAATAATTGACTCACTCAGCTGCCAGTATATCAACTCTCGCAACCCCGTACAATACACTCGCCCCCCGACGCAAAGCAAAGAAACGAAGAACATCAACATGTACGCCAGCGCCATCATCAGCGTCTTCCTCGCCGCTCTCGCAGCCGCATCCCCGTACCGCAACAGCCAGCGCGAGCGCGGGCTCGTGACGATCATCATGACGGAGCCGGACTGTCCCGCGCTCAAAGCCTACTGCACCAACTGCAACGGGTTCGTGTGCTTCCTTTCTTCTTCCCCCCCCCCCCCCCCCCCCCCCATTTCCCTCCTGGTGTATCGTCTCTTGACATCAAACGTACTCCCTTCCCTTTTAATCTCTTCCCACCCCTGTCGTGTGACCTACTTACGGCCGATGAGCTGTTGTCATCGCTTCTTTCCCTATTTTGTGCTTCTGCAATACCTATAACGAAAGAGTAGTGAGGAATATAGTATTTCAACGTTGCGGGGGGGAAAAACAACCCCTGTCTAACGAGTATGAGCTGACTGTCTCCCTACTTGCAGCGATTTCAACTGTGAGACGGATCCGCGGTGCGAGTGGTGCTACGAGCACGGCCAGTTTGGCAATGTTGCCTAGGGCGATTAATAGCCCCTGGGTCGAGCCAGCTACGAGTATATTATGCTAGTTTTGCGTCACCTATTTCGTCTGCTACATGAGGGGTCTGCTGCTTGGAGCGGAAGGAGTTGAACAATATTTACTATTACGATTATGACATGGCATTTATGACGATTGGGGCGGATACGGAAGTTTCGATTGATTAAGTACTTGACATTGATATCTCTCATCTATGTTGGATATGTATGGTACACTTTCTCAGTTTTCCTGCCTCGGAGATAGTACAACGCGACGAGAGGGCTGCATTGAGGTCTTATAGCCCCCTCCTACACACTCCTTGATATCGTTCTCCCTTTTAGCTAATATACAGACATTATATGCACGATGAGATGTGCCCCTGTTCTATATATTTGGCCCAGCCTCGTAAAACCATATACAGAGAATCAATTCATCCCCTGATAAGCCACCTAACCGATGCTGACAGATAAAAATATGATGCGCCATGTTGAGTAGAGTTTAAGAGGGTGCTAACCCGTTGGGCACGACTAACGCCGGCCACATCTCTTGACGCAAGAAAATCCATCTCCCCTGATATCTGTACAAGTTTTTTTTCATACAGAGTTTCGTACCTGATCCTACGACGTCTTTGGTTGCACTGGCGGTGTGCCTGATGGTGAAGATGACTTGAACCAACCTGTGAATGAAGACTTCATACTGTTCATCGCCTCGGCCTGTTGCTGCTCCTGCATTTGCTGGGCCTCCTTGAGCCATTGGTCACCGTTCTCTCGAATGTGCTTCTCCATCATCTCGTAATTCTTTTGACCTCTTTCGCGAATGATGTCCTGCAGCATCTTTCCTTGGGCGAATGCCTCGGCAGGGGAGACTTCACCGTCCGCTGGCTGCATCATGCTCATGTTCCCCTTCAGTCCCAGCATGTTGCCCAATGCCCCCATTCCCGAGGGTCGTTTCCTCTTCTGGCTTTCGAGTTGTTTCTTGAACTCAGCACGCGCAATAGCTTCGCGACGGGCGAATTCGGTAGGAATGTGTTTGCCTTGGAAAGATTTGAGGACGTCTCGAGTGTCCTTGTACTCCATGGCGAATATGTACTCTAGGAAAGGGATAAGAGAAACGAGGTCTTTGTCGTTCTTATCGCCCTTCCACGGGGGTAATATAATGGCGTTCTCAGGTTGATTCTGAACGTGGGATTCCTTGGTATCAATGATGATGACTTTGGAGAGATCGCGATTCAGGTATGATAGATCCTACGATGATGTTAGCAGCTAGTGCAGTGCATTCATCTCGTCAGTAAAGGCGTACCTTAACGATTTCGCCGTCTTTATACTTGGTCGCTTCCCGGTACAGTGGCCAGACAATGATCTGGAAGGGATCTAGTTTTCGCATGAGGGGCTCTCCCATAGCCATAGGCACACTGGTGAATAAGACCAATTCGTAGTATTGACTGAGGTACCGTAGGAAGTAGTCGACGCCGGGACGCTTCGCAACTCTCCAGCCATGCTCACGCGTCCACTCGCTATGTACCAACATGTCTTCAAGACTGATGCACAGGGTGTAAGGCCGTTCGAACATGGGATGCGGGTCGGGCAGCAGCTTGTCGAATGCGGGTTCTCGGTAGTAGTCGGTCACATCGGTGAGACGGGCCACAGCACGCTTATACCACAGAGCGGGTGTCCATCCGCTGGGGATATCCTTGTGAATAGCAGCTTCCTCCTCATCCCACTCCCGGCCAAGGTACCCCAGAGCCACGACGCCGCCGACTAGCACGGCGAGATACATGCGGTTGGCGAATTGGGCTCGTCGCTTATCGGTAGAGCTTATGTAGGCTGATGCGGGGAGCTCTCCTGAACCACGGCCGCCACCCCCCTCTGTTTGCGCGCTCTCCTCGCCGTCCTGGAGCTTTGACAGCTCTGACTTCTTGGTAGCCCCCGAAGTCTCGTACTCAAGCGTCGACGGGATTCCTCGAGTTAGGTCGGGTAGCGAGTTGAAGTCTGGTGGAGGGGTGGCTGGTTCGGCGGCATCGGGCGAGGGCGAGGGCGACGATGACGATGGGGAAGGCTTCTCGGTTGATGTCGATGGCTTGGGGCGATCGCTCTTGGGACGGTTGTTCTTGGCCATTCTTCGTACCCATAACCTCGAGCTGGGGATGGCAATTTTGGGAGAGGCCACAGCAGAGATAGCTGTACGCTGGAGGGCGAGAGGCCGCGCAGAGCGTGCGACGCCCTGCGCGATGGCTCGAGACAGCATTGCGACGACAGACGACAGACGACAGACGACGTCAGACCTGAGCTCGGGAACGCTGCGAACTGCGGGCTGCGGGCTTTGATCTTTCCTTCGGGCAACCAACCCTTGAACTCGAATCCGGAGACCTCTCTGCCCGAATCAGCGAGACAATCGATTGCTGCAGGGCAAAGGGGACTTTGGTGTGAAGTCTGATCGGATTGCGCGCGACGGCGATGTGATGGAAACCGATGGTAGCTATTGTTAGAAACTTTTTTTAATTCTATGAAGACACCGCAGCGGCTTACCCTAGTGCCCTCCGCAGTACCTAGTACCTACACTGCCGTGCCACCATGACACAATGAGTCTACCCAGGTACCTGTGGCTCAGCAAAATACAGTACATAATACACCCAAGGTAGGGCCCCATGTAGGTAGTGGTCCTACCTATAAGTACCTCTAACTACCTCTATCCACTGAGTAAGTTAAATGGAGGGGTACTTGGAGCTAACGAGAGCTAGGGTAAGGATAGGTATGTTTTAAAAGTCAACTATATGTAAGTCAGGTAGGTACTATATGACTGACCTTCAAATGTTGCCAAACTACATGCCTGTATTTCTCATAAGAGGTGTACTGTAGTTTCTATAGACGTAAACCTGCATTTTATTTTATGACACCTTACTATGGCTTTTGGACCCCAGAGAGTTCCAAGTTCTATTTACCAAAGAGGCCGAGTTCTGGCAATGGATTGCTACCTTCGAGCGCTCTAAGAGTTCCGCTATCTTCGACAAGCTTCAACACCTCTTACTTTAATGTGTTATGTTGCTCGAGATGAGATACCATCAGCGCCTAGGGCGTCAGTTGGCACGCGAAGAATACTTGGCAGGATTGGGCATCGGCCCTCAGACATTCAGGATTCAACGAGAGGAATGTTGATCAATTGTTCCGGTCTTATTACCCAAACAGAGCCATTCATTCTATACCTCTTACAGAGCATTAATGGACTATCGTTTATTTTTAAACAGCGGGTATCAGAGCAGCGAGGCCATCCCAGGATCACTACTGAGATTTTATGATGTAACCGCTGATACTATCTCGGCTGGCATAAGACATTGACATAAGGTTATTGAGACGAAAGAGGGAATGTGGCGAAGTGATGGTCTCAAACGAAGAGGACCATTGCTCTAGCAAAGCAAAAGGCCAACGAGGATGGGCTTCACCATATTGACTGCCTCGCGGGAATGCCCTACGCTGGCCGTCGATTCCCATTAGTCCTTTGCCCTCGACGGGAAGGATAGAACCTCCGAGTAAACTGGCAAGCGTGGTGCCTGCCAACGTCTGTTACTCACTCACTTATAGTAACCAAGCGTGGCGATTAAGAAACGAGGCCCGACCTTGCGGTAAGCATGACTATTTCTATAATGTTACTAGTATGCTAAATGCCACCGGGACATCGGCGATCTACAACTTCGTCGCGCTGCGGATGCGCTCTGTAAGCCTCGCAAGGTATTTCGGCTGGAGAGCCGACGCACGGCTACAACCCTGATACTTCTTGTAGCTAGACCAGTATATACGGAATGTTGTAGGGGTACATCGGCCACTTAATTTAGTATATTGACCCGATTGGCAGTTTTAATATCTTCAAAACGCCAGCGAAGGAGGGATCACTACGGACGGGAAGTAGTACTTGCTGTCTTCCGTCGTATACCAAGTTGCTCCCTGGCTTCTTAACTGGGCAGAATAATATCAAAGGGAGGTCAAGTAGTTGGCATAAAGGTTGAATGCATAATTCCTGGCTCGATGGCCGAGTGGTTAAGGCGATAGACTTAAGCAAGGTTCAATGCGATCTCTAAGATCTGTTGACGTTTAGGATTCTATTGACGCAAGTCGCGCGAGTTCGAACCTCGCTCGAGCCAAGAAATACTTTTTATTTTGGCTAAGTTGTCTCTTTCTTTCTTTTTTCAATAACCTTCATTCATAGACAGTAAATTAAATTATGTATACATAAATACAATTCCTTTCTTTACTGGGTTGGTTACCTTGGTTTAACGGCCAGGTCTTTACACAACCTACTACTATATGGATACAGCCCACCTTTGGTTTAAACTGCAATAGTCATCCCCCCGCTCTACTCAGTCGTTTAACAGCATGCTCATTGTTTAAATTTCTTAAAAAAAGTCTTTGTCCAATTCGCATATGATACAGTCAATTTATATCCTGACCCTATGCTAACCCCGTCGGTTCTGCTTGAACCCTTCTTTACTTGTAATGTTCAATTCATAAACCGCGCCTATCTAGACTGAACGGAGTAGGTACTTGTGAAGGATAAGGTTCTAAGCTGACCTACGGAGTGCCCCTCGGCCCCTTCCCTACTCCGGCCAGTTCCGGTATCCCCTACCCTAGAGTCATTGGTCCGTCGCCTGTACTACAACTGCCAACGTCTTCAGCCTGTTCTGTTCTATTCAATAGCGATCTGGGTTATATACCTACTCTCATCGCCTTTTCTTAAACCATCCACATCAGCAACGGTATTTTCTTATTCAAAATGGCATTCAAGAGTGCTGCATTCTAGAGAGGGTGGCTGTCCAGTCAAGCGATTTACACTGTAATCAACGATGGCACCACCCTCGCGATGCACGTCCCCTTCTTTCATAGCCAGCAGTTACTTACCCTGAACAATTAATCCGCCCAGCAAGACACTCCTAAACCATCACCTAGCAACGCTTGTGGTTTGCGGGGATACGACTCTTAAGTAGAATCCGACTTCTCCGCACGATTGCCCGCCGTCGCGTAACCCCAACCACCATCTTCTTCGCCCTCTCCCTGTCCGAGTCGTACGATCTGTCCAGCCATACAATCGTCTCGGAGGCTTCGGTTTATCACCGCTGAGAGAACCCTCAAACCCTGGGACAATGCGTGGTCGAAAGGCCGGCGTCGGCAGAGCGTCGCGCGCTGCTGGCGCTGTCTCCCGTCCGACACCAATTGCCTCCACCGTTCCATCGACAGTTTCATCCACCCTGCCGACCCCTCTTAGCTCGACATATCCCTCTACTTATACTTCGGAAGCGGAGTACGATATCAACGAAGAGATCGAGAAGCTCCCTCTCGATGCTCTTAGTCTCGGATCGGCCGCGCCAGACAAACCGAAGAAGCCTAAGCGAACCAAGCAGCTCCCGTTTCGATTTCTCGACTTGCCCTCCGAATTGCGCCTCAAAGTATACGAATACCATTTTGCCAACACCGGCCATGTGCTTGACCTGGACCCGGACAACTACAAGCGAATTCATCAGAAGCTGGGTATCCTGCGAACCTGCCGCACTATCTACGTGGAGGCTTCGTACTCCTTCTATAGTACCCATCCTGTTCGCGTCTTCCCCACGCACCATGGGCGCTTCTTCAAGACCAAGAAGCCCCTCCTCGCCCGTATGAAGCCTGGGCAACGGGCGTGTATCAGCTCACTGGAACTCCGCCTCGGCCCCGGTTGGAGCAAGCCACCCCGTGGATGGGAAGTGAACCCGGCCCTGGGCCTTAGCCAGTGCGTCAATGCCACAAGATTGACGGTGTTTGTGGAATGCGACCCGGGCAACGACATTTTTAAGGGCTTCCGTCAGCCGGGCGGGTTCTTCGAGGCATTTGCAAAGAAGCTCCTCACGGGTATCCTTGACGAGATGCCGTGGGTGCGACGAGTGGAATTTGATGCCTGGCCGAGCGTGAAGAAGTCTGGTGCCCTCATGACTGGCTTAATCGACCTCGTCACTTCGCGGAGTCTGAACATCACCTGGGGCTCGGAACGGGGTTGGACTGACGCAGAGGAGGTCGAGCCGCCTCCCGTTATTCACAACTACGCACCCCTCAACAGTCTCGTCAATACCACCAATAACATATTGGTGCTAGCATGAAGAGCGAAGGGGATACTTAAAGGTATCTTAGGCCATGTACTGCTCTGAAAATGAAAAGCGCATGGAAAGTCATAGTATGGAACACCCTGTACAAATATTGCGGAAGCGGTTGCAGGAAATTCGATGATTTAATTGCTGGAGGCTTGCTCGGGATTGGATTGCTTTAAGGGAGTTTTGCTTCCCTCTGGATGCTCTGACACAGCTCATTCAAACTAAAGATTGACAGATCAATTGAACACCGCATATGAATCATTTGGAAAGATACTCCGAGGGCTGGCTTTAATCCTCATGTGAACCGTGTGCTATCTCATCTGGTTAATCTGTTCTGGACGAAAAGGCCAACTAGGCCTGTAATCATATTCAAGTAGCTGTCTCTAGTATTCTGTCCCCGTGTTGTAAAGTAAAGTAGGAGGCTCGCTCGCCAGGATGATGAATACGGTAAGTACCTGTCCTGCTGCTTGACGTGATTGAATTAAATTCTGATATAAATAAATATATACTCATAAGTAATTAAATGCCTGTCACGCTCCGCAGTAAGATATCGTCGGGGATCTCTGGTTTAAATATTAGGTTAGTTGTCTTTGAAGTTGATTGGCATTGGCATTACCCATGTTGTGGAATCTTGCTCTAATCAATCGACCCCACCAAAATTTTCCTCTCGATGCAGGTACCAACTACACTAACCTTAACAATCCCAACCAGCAGCTCCACGTCCAACATCAACTTCTCTCTTCTAGGTGAACAGCCACCTCCTACCTCACGATTGCCCTCCCAAACAAACACGTCCTCGACCGAGCCACAGTCTACATATTTATTTCCGCCTCTCGCCCTGTAGCGCCCACCTCGAAAGCGCAACCATCCGCCCAACTAACGAAACCAAGCCCTCTCTCACCTCACCTCACCTCACCTCACCTCACCTCACCTCACCTCGGTACCGTACCTAACCCTTCTTCACCCCCGACAAAAGCAACGACAACAACAATGCCCCTAGACACATCAACCTACGACCTCGCGCTCCTGCGCGTCGACGGGCGCCGCTGGAACGAGCTGCGCAGGCTGCACGGGCAGATCCGCACGCAGGCCGCCGCGGACGGGTCCTCGTACCTCGAGATGGGCAACACCAAGGTCATGTGCGTGGTCGCGGGCCCGAGCGAGGACGCGGGCAGGCGGCGGGCCGGCATGGGCGCGTCTGCGTCTGCGTCTGCGACTGCGTCGACGGCTCCTGGGGGCGCTACTGCTGCTGCTGATGTCGTTGTGAGCATCGTTGTGGGAGGCTTCAGTTCTGTGGATCGCAAGCGCAGGGCTAGGGGGGATAAGTCAGTTTTTTTCTTTCCCTTTTCTCGTGGCTACGGTTCTTTGAGTGTCTGTGATATCTATATATACATGGGGTCTTGACTACGAAATCTGAGGTTACGTTCCGTTCATTACGAGCAAGGGGCCTTTCGTTTCCTATGTCTATTCTATTCCAATAGGTCCTACATACATACAACCAAGTCTCAACAAACTAACCACCCCTCTTACAGACGCATCCAAGAGCTCCAAGCAACAATCGCCAAAGCCCTCGCCTCAAACCTGCACGTACACCTCTACCCACGCTCAACAATCAGCGTCTCGCTCCACGTGCTCTCGCAAGACGGGTCACTCCTAGCAGCCCTCATCAACGCAGCGACGCTAGCGCTCGTCGACGCAGGCGTGCCCATGACAGACTACCTAGCCGCGTGCACGGCCGGCAGCACCTCGACGCACTCGGCGGGCGACGAGGCCGCCGACCCCCTCGTGGACCTCAACACCCAGGAGGAACAGGAGCTGCCCTTCCTAACCCTAGGAACCCTCGGCGCCACCGACAAGGTCGCCGTCCTCGTCTGCGAGACCCGTGTCCAGGTGAGCCGCCTCGAGGGCATGATGGCCTCCGCTGCCGACGGGTGCAAGGGCGTGCGCGACTTCCTGGATTCCGTCGTCCGCGACAAGGGGCGTAAGATGGTGACGGAGGGCGCCATTGAGAAAGGGGCGAGTATGGCTATGGATATTGACGTCTAGGATTCCGTCAGTGGGCCATCGATGATGCTACGCTCATTATTCGGCCGAGCTTCGAGATCCTGACGGTGCGATCGCAGCAATTGGGCCGTACGTGGTTGGTTATCTCGTTAATTTCATAACATGTGCTACACTACACTGTACATTTAACGCTAACATCGGGATTTCTTTACAGTTCTTCATGCTTGGGTGGAGCATCGGTGGCTTCTGGCGTCGGTTCGGCGCCTTGCCACGATGTGGTCTCCGGCTCCGCGTCCACCTCGACCTTAACAGCCTCCTCTAGCTTGATTTCGACTGTCTCGACAGGCTTCTCCGTCGCGGTTTCTGACTCCTGGACAACCTTGCTAATGATTCCCTCGGGTATCTTGTTCCTGGGGCCCTCGTTCATACGAATGGTGTCAATCCAACTCTCCACACTCGTGGAGCTGAAATCACCTTCATAGTGCCGCCACCATCCCCTCTTAGCATTGACGGCAACCAGTTCGGTCTCGCCAGTGAGTTCAAGGCCTTTGAACACAGGCGCGACAGCCTCGTTGTCTGTGTGGACCTCGAAGAAAGGGAATAGGTTGCGCTCGGCCTGGGCGTGCTTAAAGGCGATCTCGGACAAGCTGGTCAATGCCTTCTCGGCTGTTTCGCCATGAGCAGTAGGAACAAAAGCAAGAACGCAGATATGGGCCTTGGGATGTAAGCACTCGTTAATTAGTACCTGGGACGATGTAATTGCGGCGATTGGGGGCGCAACTTCGGCCACTTTGGGCTTTGAATCGGTAGTGGGGGGAACTTCGGTCGCCTCGGATGGCTCAGATGTGGCAGTAGAAGTAGTTTCGGAAGAAGCCTTGGAGGCCTTGTCCTTCTTATCCTTCTTCTCGCTCTTCTTCTCGCTTTTCTTGTCACTCTTCTTGTCACTCTTCTTGTCACCCTTGGACTTTGCAGGGGCTGGATCTGGGTTTGGCTCGCCTACTTGCGACAAGAACTTGAGCAGA